GTCTGGTTTGCTTATGTTTGATTCTTTTTTACGTATGATAATCCTGTGGAATCTGAAACATGATTGGTATAAATAGAGTATTTTATAAGTATTTTATATTTTGCTCATTTGATGTTAAGGTAACTTTATATCTTTGTGAAATTTCTGTCTTTCTACTTTCCAATTGTGAATATAATTATGAGTCAGTTGTAGTTAATTGAACCTAGTTTATAGAGCTTTTATTTTTTGTGTGTTTCTAATTTATTAAAATCGTTCAAATTGCTCTAGATCATGAAAAAGTGTTAGAAAGTGAATTGACTATCTTTAGAAACTAATTCTATCTTACAGTATTGGCTCGATTATAGGGCAATCTCAAATGTAAGGCGACCCCATTTTCAAAAACCATGGGAAAGAAAAATAAATTGAGTGTCACAATGTCCTTTTTTTAGGTCCGTAAAATCAATACTATAACTGAATAGCCTGTAGGTGGATTAGTTCCAAGAATTATCAATGACCTTAAACGAACATTTGGCACACATTTGAAGATGGATGCTATCTGGATATTCAAGAATGTGACAGTCTAGAGTAGGGGAAAGGGACTTGTGGTCAGCCACGATTATAAGACAACTAGGAATTTTACAGCCTAATTATTAATCAATAAAACATCGCCTTATAATCGGGTTAATATGGTATATTATTCTCTGGCACAGTTTAGTGAGTTAGTTATTTTATTATTTAATTGTTCCATTGTTGCCAAAAAATAAACTGAAATTATCAAGATTGAAAAAAAAAATTGAGCTTTACAAAACCACATTTTTATTGTATAGTTAAAGTATAGTTTTATTTTTGTCATTTTGTGCAACAGTTTTTAACTTTTCTAAATAAAACATAGGTTTTGTGCTGTTTAATGTTAATAATAATGAAATGATTAAGTTAACAGTAAATTTTCTTTAGAAAATATTGGTATTGTACACACAATGCTTTGTGTCGGTTTTTTCTGAATCTGAAACCAAAATGTGTTTATCAAGCAAATAATATATAAAGTTTTACTTCTGTGTTTTCAGAATATATATTGTATATTGTTATAAAGTTAGTTGGTTTTAACTCTTTTAACACAGGTTTGGTCAATTTGACCGATCACATTACCTCTTTGTACTCATTCAAAGATTTTATAAATTTGATACTACTAACTATTAATATAGTGTGTGTATATCTTCATGAAATTTGGCAGTCTTTCACGTACAAAAAATCATATTTTAAGTGAATTATTTTTAAACATTATAAGTCTTTCATGTACAAAAAATCATATTTTTAAGTGAATTATTTTTAATAAACTAAAATAAGATTTGTGCTTGAGTATATCGAGTATTTATTTTGAATAGTCCATGTGCATAGTGATTTACATTATAAGTCTTTCACGTACAAAAAATCATATTTTTAAGTGAATTATTTTTAATAAACTAAAATAAGATTTGTACTTGAGTATATTGAGTATTTATTTTGAATAGTCCGTGTGCATAGTGATTTACATGTTAAGATTAAAAGATACTTTTCTTCATCTCAAAAATCTTAAATTTCATTTGTGTAATCTCTAAA